GCTGCTGCTGCTGCTGCTGCTGCTGTGGGTTTATCTGTTTTGGGTTCTGAGAAGTCAGGGGGCCCACCTTCTTCCCTTTTTTCCCAAGTGCTGCTTAAAAGGGAAGAAGTTGCTGGTTGGGGGCCCCCTGCCAGGGGCCCCTCGCTGGGTTCTTCGAGCAAGGGGGCCCCCTTGCGGGCCCCAGGGGACTCTTCTCTTTCAGAAGTTTCCCTTTTAAGGGCCTCCAACTCCTGGGGGCCCCCCAAAGGGTCCTGGGGGCCCCAAGTGTCTCTCGGAGAAGAAGGGGCCCCCCTTGGGCTGCTGGCAGTAGGGGTTGCTGGGGGGCCCCCCTGGGGCCCCTCCGGGGCCTCGCTGGGGGCTGGGGAATCCCCCAAAGGGACCTTATGCTGCATTTCTGAAAATGAATTAAAGCTTTTGGGGGCCCCTTTGGAAACATTTAATCCCCTTTTGAGCATATCTAGAAGGCGCACAGACCCTGCTGGGAGCCCCGGGGGCTGGGGGGCCCCCGTGTCCCGGGGGGCCCCCGGGGAGACCCGCCCTGCGGCCAGGGGCCCCTTCTTAGACGGGGGGGGCCCCCTTGCCAGGGGGGCTCCCTTGGGGCCCTTTGGGGGCCCCTGGGGGGGGGCCCCCGGCGACGGAGGCCGGGGAGAGGCCGCGGGGGATATTAAAGGGGTAATAGGGTTTGAAGCGGGCTCGTCTAGGGGCCCCCCGTTGGGTACTGGGGGGCCCCCCGAGGGTACCTTAGGCTTGGGGGCCCCCAAGAATGCTTGGGGAGGCTTCTTGGGGGGGGGCCCCACTGGCTTTAGCAGCGGCGGCAGCTTCTTGCTGCCAAGCTTGGGGCCCTTCGGGGGCGGCGCCAGGGTCGCCATGGGCCCTTGAGAAAGCAACTGCAGCAGCAGCAGCAGCAGCAGCAGCAGCAGCAGCAGCAGCGACGGCAGGGGTGTTCAAGAAGGGCCCTTGAGGAAAGGAAGAAGAGTAATTGCGAAGTGAACTGGAGCCGGAAGGATATGCTGCAGTGGATTGGAGTGTCTGTACACCTGAGATAATTGCTTACTTGAATTGCTTTCCTTCAACGGCCCTGTTTGCGGGAAAGGCGAATCTGGGATTTGAACATGAGAGTTGCTGCTGCTGCAGAGGGAAGCAGAAGAAGAAAGAATGGCTAATAAGAAGCTCCATTTAGTATAATTTGCATTTAGAAAAGAAAAGGACGTATTTCAACACAACTTCTCGCAATTTCCCCCACCTTTTCAACAACGAAGAATTTCCGTGGGCTTCCGACTATCGATCATCTTCTGCGTCGCCGCTGTTGCGTCTTTTCGGCGGATTTGACTTTCTTTGAGGAATAAAAAGGAAAATACTTCAATGCATGCATTAAATCGATTATTATTTGCCCTGTGAGTTTGTCTCAGCCGCTGGAGAGTTGCACTGCCGTTTTGTTTCGGTGGTGTCCACTGGGAAGCTGCACGCAGCCCGCGAAAAGGCTTTTGATTTCGTCGAAATTCGCGCGCGAATTTCTTTTCTTTTTAAATCATTTATTCTTTTTAGAATAAAAGATCAAAAGGAGCGCCGGAGGCTGCAGGAGGCTCGAGACTGGCGCCGCCGTCGAGACCAGCGGCCCTGGTGATCCCCGCGGAAACTGCGAGTTGCGCGAAAACAAAACGCGTGAGACTTATTTCACTTTTTGTGGAACTCACTTTCAGTTTTTCACCACAAAATTGCCCTTTTACTCCGCGAAATTCTGCGGAAATCCCGCAGCAGCAGTCGGTGGCGCTACGGACGACAGACAGTGGCTTGTTGGCGCTGCAGCGGCGAAGCCTCGTGAACAAAAGCCAAATGCCATTAAATTCATTAAATTAAAATTAAAAAATTCATTTCCCGCCAAATTTAATATCTTTTTTGAGTAATTTCGCGCGGTTTCCCTCGGATTGGTGAAGCTGTTCAGAAACATGCACGCGGCGCAACTGCAACTCACGTGCAGAATCGAAAACTTGAAATGTTTGCAAAAAAATAAAACCTTTTCAAAATATAACTTTTTATTTATAAAAGAAATGGAAATATCTTGTCTGATAACTGTCTTTCGCTTCCCAAACATTCGAAATGTGGAAATTCGCAAAAGTTGCAATTTTGGAATATTCACGTTGGAACTGAACAGCAGCGAAAAACCAACAGACTTTAATGGTCCTTTTATTCTCATTTAATATAAATTTAATAAAACAAAGCAATAAAACTTCTTATTCTCATTTAATATATTTGAAAAAAAAGAATTAAACTTTCTTCAACATGGCCATTTGAAGCGCCTGAAACCTTAAAATGAAGCTTGCTGAAGCCCAGCTAGCCACAGCTAGCCAGCTAGCTACGGCCAGCCAGTCAACTACAGCTAGCTAGCTAACTACAGCTAGCCAGCTAGCTAGCTAACTACAGCTGGCCAGCTAGCTAGCTAACTACAGCTAGCTGGATGCGGCCAGCTAGCGCTAGCTGCTCCCGTTCTGATGTCTTCTCCTCCTTCCTATACTCAACAAAAGTAATTAATTCTAATGTACTTTTAAATGCTCTCTTTGGCAACTTAGATATTTCTTTATTCATGATCTGCTTCCAAATAACTGTTCCTGCTTTAGTTTCGATTCAATGAGTCCTTGTTTCCTTGCTGTTGTTAAACTGCCTTATTGAATCATCTGCTGCAGCAGAAGCTGCTGCTGCTGCAGCTGGAGCTGCAGCAGAAGCAGCTGCAGCAGGAGCTGCAGCAGACGCAGCTGCACCAGCAGCTGCAGCAGGAGCTGCAGCAGAAGCAGCTGCAGCAGCAGCTGCAGAAGCAGCGGCTGCCGCTGGGCCAACAGTTGCTGCGGGGCCCAGCGCAGCAGCAGCAGCAGCTGCTGCTGCTGTAGCTTGATTGGCAGGACGCCGCCAATACTTGCTTGCATTACCTAGCAACTCGTCGAAAAAGAAGAGCCAAATACGACAGATTTAGATCAATAGTGTTTCGCTATTGTGCAGAGAGGAAATAACCTTTCAATTCAACATTGTAGTGCTGCTGCTGCTGCTGCTGCTGCTGCTGCCGTTTGCTTCACCTCCAACACTCTAAATTGGAGCTTTTGGATACCCGAAATCCCACACACACTTTATTGGTTTCAACTGAACACTGTGCAGCAAACAAGCACATCAATGACATCACCTGAATCCACCAGATCCACGCTGAGCTGGCCGCCATAACTTCCAGAAGCTGGCGAAATAATGAAAAAATCCGACATATTTCCGCACTTTTGCTCATATTTCTGCTTAATTTCCTTCCGTTTCTGCAAAAATCCGAAAACGCCGCACGACGTCTCGCGAGGTGTACGTACACCCCAAGGAAAGCAATGACACCGCCAGTTCAAGTTCAAGTTGCTGCCGCCACATTTCCTCCTTTTTTGTCGGATCTTCGCTCGTAAGCTCCTGTGGAATCCAAAGTAATTCCATTTCCTTGTTGAATTTCCAATCCGTCTTCAGCCAACCACTTCACAACGTCGGCTTCGCTGAAAGCAGCATCGCCTCCCCGCCGGGAAAGCTGAATGTAGGCGCCCCCTGAGATCGCGAGCAGCAGCAGCAAAAGCAGCAGCACTGGCCCTTTAATTTGAACAACTTCGAAAATCAAAATGCATTTCAAATCCCAATTTCATCAAATATTCACTCCTCTCCACATTCTCAACGCGGATCCCTCCCGCTTCCCCTCACCAAACCCTAAACCCTAAACCCTAAACCCTCGAAAATCAAACTGCATTTCGAACCCCAACTCCATCAAATATTCACTTCCCTCCACATTCTCAACGCGGATGCCTCCCCCTTCCCCTCACCAAACCCTAAACCCTAAACCCTAAACCCTCACCGGCTTGCGTGGCGAGTTCTCCGAACCTCTTCGGGGTTATATTCGCTCCGGCTTTGTACGGCGCCGGCGGCGGCGCCACAGCAGCAAATCCAAACATGGAAATTCCAATGGGCTCTCCGAGCTTGACTGGAACTACTTTATTTTCAATCTGAGAAAGCCACGCAGCCCAGCACCCAGCCTCACCAGCTAGCTAGCTAGCTAGCTAGCCGGCTAGCCAGCTAGCCAGCCACGCAGCTGGCCACTGCACTCGCAGTGCAGCTACCGCGGGGGGCAGCTAGCCAGCTAGCTAGCTGGCTGGCTAGCCGGCAGTGCAGCTAGCCAGCTAGCCAGCTAGCTAGCTAGCTAGCTAGCTAGAGCTGCCCAGCAACTGAACTAAACGCTACACAAGTCGCTGCTGCGCCGCATCAGCAGCAGCGAGCCGCAGCTACCCAGCCAGCTAGCCAGCTAGCTAGCTAGCTAGCTAGCTAGCTAACCAACTTACGGGCCCGGTGTGCAGCAAGAAGACTGTAGCAGGAGGCGCGGGAAGCTCGAAGGGGTGCAGCAAAAGTGAGGCCTCCATTTCGTCTGCTGCTTTTAAGAATTTGGCCCAGCCTTGGAAGTAAGCTTGCCGCTGGGCTTTGTTCCAAATGTCCCACTTGTACTGAAAACAAACAAACAAACAAACAAATAAATAAATAAATAAATAAATAAATAATAAATAATAAATAGTTAATTTAATTCGTTTGCCTCGTTGACTGTGGTGCTGCAGCCGCAGAGCTCAGTTGTGGGCGCCCCAGCAAGCAGCAGCTGCGCTGCTGCTCTGGGAAGAGCAGCAGCAGCAGCAGCAGCAGCCGCAGCAGCGCTGCAGCACCTGCCGCAGCTGCAGCAGCACTTGCTGCAGCTACAGCAGCACTTGCTGCATCTGCAACAGCACTTGCTGCAGCTGCAACATCAGTTTCACCAGCAGCGTCGGCAACAGCAGTAGCAGCAGTAGCAGCAGCAGTAGACCCCCAAAGAAAAAAGCATAGCAGCAGCAGCAGCACCAACAGCACCAATCCTAAAAGAAATGTGGGGCAGCAGCAGCTGCTGCTGCTGCCCCACATCTGCTGTTCTCACAGCTACTGCTGCCACAGTAGCAGCTGCAACAGCTGCCAGACCAGAAACAGCAGCAGCAGCAGCAGCTACAATGAGAGCCGCAGCAGCAGCAACAGCAACAGCAACACAAACAGCAGCAGCAGCAGCAGCAGCAGTCACCTTCATCTCCTGAAGCAAAAAAGTGATTCCTCCGTTTTGCTGCAGTTTGCTTTTGGTGACAGTCTTGTACTTGGGGGGCACAAAGGAGGCCAGCAGCAGCAGCTTCTTGTCTTGCATTTCCTGCTGCTGCATTGCTGCTGCAGTCCACTGCAGAATTAAAGAGCCTTCGTTGAGTTCAGCAGCATAAAACAAGTATGCATGCGGCAGGTTCGCGTTGCTTCCTGCTGCTGCTGCTGCTGCTGCTTGCTGCTGCGCTGCTGCCAGCAGCTCCGCGTCGGCCGCGGAGAGCGCCACCACCGGCGACGCCGGCTGCTGCGCTGCTGCCGCCTCCTGCTGCTGCTCCTGCTGCTGTTGCTCCTGCTGCTGCTGCTCCTGCTGCTGCTGCTCCTGCTCCTGCTGCTGCTGCTGCTCCGCAGTGGTTGGGTTTGTGGGGTTTGTGTCCTTCCCGTCCGAGGCATTGGCTGGCTCCCGCTCGCTGCGGTCCTCGCCGGTGAGTGCTGCTGCTGCTGCTGCGCCGTTGGCAGCAGCAGCAGCTGCTGCTGCTGCTGCTTCCTGCGCCTTTTCAGCTTGAGAAGCAGCAGAAGCTGCTGCTTCTGCTGCTTTGTCAGCAGCAGAGACAGGAGGCTCTGCAGCAGCAGCTGTCCCCCGACTCTTCCCGCAAGCCCCCCCCATGGCCCATTCCTCGCTGCAGCAGCTAAGAGAGAAAAAGAAAAGAAAAGAAAAGAAGTGAAACTTAAAAAAAGAAGTTTGCTGCTGCTGCTGCTGCTGCATGCATCTGGGCTGGCGAGGCAGCAGGAGTGCCAGCCGCCCGCGAGGCAGCAGCAAAGAGGCTTGGGCCACCTGGGGTCAAACTGGAGCCCCCCGAAGCCTTTTTGCACTTAAAATGCAAATAAAATGCATTTAATTTCAAATAGATGCATATAAATGCATTTATTTGAAATTAAATGCATTAAACAGCTCTTAATTAAACAAAGTTCTTCAATTGCGCGCAGCACGCCCAGCGGCGCGCGCCAGCGTCTCGCTGCAGCACAGAGACCGCCGGCACAGCACACTGCCGCGTGCGAGCCGCCAGCGCAAGTCGTGGTCCCCAATTTCAATTAATTGGGAACTAATTAAAGACTTTTCTTTGAAAAGTTTCTCCTTTTGAAGAAGTGCTGCAAATTTGAATTCATTTTTTCCTCTTTTTCCGCAAAAACGCCAAAAATTGGCCGCCGATTGCCGCGGTGGCTGTACAGCGTCGCAGAGCGCCGCTGGGCCAGTGGACAGACACTGCAGGCAACGAACAACTCAACGCGCCTTCTCTTCTTTTTCCTTTTAATTTTATTTATTTACTATTTATTATTATTTATTATTATTTATTGTTATTTATTTACGTATTTATTTAACTTTTAAGTCTTTTCTGCTACAGCCGCCGCGCCAACCCCCAGCTGCCAGGCTCACACTGCAGGGGCCACAGGGCTCACTGGGGAGGGGGCAGCCTTAACTAGTTTTGCTGTCTCTTGGTTCTATTTTAGTTTTTAATTTTGGAATAATTACATAAACCCTAAACCCTAAACCCTAAAAAGGGGTTCCAATGATAAGTCTGCCTCTGGGAGGCGCCTGCCGCCGCTGCCCGGGCGGGGGGCCAAATATGCTTCAGCAGCAGCTGTTTGCGCTGCAGGGCTGCTGCTGCTGCTGCTGTTGCAGGCGCCGCTGCGGGAGGAGCTGCAGCAGGTGCAGCAGCAGCAGCAACAGCCTCTGCAGAGGCAGCAAAACTCGCCAGCTGCAGCTGCAGCTGCTGCTGCAGCAGCATTCGCTGCAGCAGCTGCTGCAGCTGCAGCACCAAGCGCTTTGGTGCTGCTGCAGCTGCAGCAGCAAATGCTGCAGCAGCTCGCGTGGCTGCTGCTGCTGCGGGAACTGGCCTCCTATTAGATTGGCAAGCAGCAGCAAATCTGGATTTTAATTTATTTTATTCTGAAATAATTTCATCAATTAGTCCCACTGCCTTCGCCTCCTCCGCAGAGAAGACTTTGCTTTGCTGGCGCCAGCTGGCGATCTGCAGCAAACAAGAACCAAAAACAGCAGCAGCAGCAGCAGCAGCAGCAGCAGGGTAATAGATAAGGGTCTTTCTGCTGCTTGTGATGCGTGTTCTTCAAAATGGCAGGGAAGAAAAAAGCGGAAGAAATGCTCTTTGAGATTTTAATGAAAGCAACTGCATGCGGCGAGGTGTACGTACACCCCAGGCACTGCAAGTTGGAATTTTGAATTTGAAATAAAATTAAAAATGAGCAAATTATAATTTGTTTTTACTTCTTCTGCTGTTCTGCCGCAGCGCTTGGCCAGAAGCAAATCAAACAATTGCTCTTGAGCAGCAGCAGCAGCAGCTTGCTGCAGCAGCTCGTCAGCAGAGCCTTGGGCTGTGCCTGAGGAAACAAAGGAACAATTTCGCTTCTTTTACATTTCTAACGTTTTTACTGCTTTCTTTTTTAATTTCTTTTTGAATTTCTTTTTATCTTCCTTTTTATTTTCTTTTTATTTTCTTTTTAATTTTATTTCTTCACCAGAAAAAGAACAGCTCAAATGGAAGTCAATGAACGCATTTAATGCCAATTAATTAAAAAGCATTTCCACGATTTTGCACTTCAACATTTCAAGTTTTAAGTGCATTTAAATATTTATTTTTAAGTTTAAACATGTTTTCAAACAAAAGCGCGAAAATGGATTTTTATTTGCTGCGAAAGTTGCGTTTGCATGCGCAGGAGCATTTCTGGGGTGTACAGACACCTGAAAAAATGCATGTTGGACTCTTGAAACGGGAATTAAAGATTTAATTATTTAAAAACGGAAATCAAAAATTAAATTCCTTTTCGAAGTTCAAAAAGATGCATTTGTTGCCTTTGCATGCACTTGAATTGGAAAAATGGAACGCCCTGCGGTGTCTGCGCGTACACCCCGCGGGTGTACGTACACCCCAGAAAGCGCCAACGCAGCGCCGGGTGTACAGACACTCACAGGCCGACTGGCAAAAGAATATTTTTGCATTTTTTGCTGCTTTTCTTTTTCCAAGAAGGCCCGAAGACAGCAGCAAAGCAGCAGAGTGGCCCACACACCCCACAGCCAAAGTCTTCAGCAGCAAATCCCCAGACACCAGGCCCAGCACGTCATACAGCGCCAGCGCTGTGGGGCCCCACACCCACAAGCAGCAGCAGCAGCAGCAGCAGCAGCGAATGCAGCAGCAGCACGTGCAGCAGCAGCAGCAGGTATAGCAGCAGCAGCAGGTGCAGCACCAGGTATAGCAGCAGCGGCAGGTGCAGCAGCAGCAGCAGCAGCGGCAGGTGCAGCAACTGGAGCAGCTGCTTCTCTTTTCGTGTCTTTCTCGTCTGCTGCTGCCTGTCTCTTTGCTGCTGCTTTTAAATTCTAATTTTATTATTTTTATTTTTATTTTATTTTTATTTTATTTTTATTTAGAAAATTTTGAAGTGCAGATTCACCTGCCGAAAGAGGGCCGCCTCTGCTGTTGATGATAAGTTCAACTCGGGCTTTTTCTGCTGCTGCTGCTGCTGCTGCTGCAGTTGGGTTTGCTGCTGCTGCGATTTTGGGGCTTTTGAGGTTCATTCTGCTTCTCATTTTTTCTTCTTTGCTGCTTTCCCGCTGCTCCCCCTGCAGCAGCAGCAGCTGTGCTGCTGCTGCTGCTGCTGCTTCCTCCGTCAAAGGGCCCCACAGAAAAATCCGCTTCTGGAAGTGCAGCAAATGGCTGAACACGTCGCTGCCGCTGCGCAGCGCAGTGGGCAGCAGCACCTGCAGCAGCAGCAGCAGCAACAGCAGCAGCAGCAGCAGAAGTAGCAGCAGCGCTGCTGCAGCAGCAGCGGTAGCAGCGGCAGCGCATGCTGTACCTACCGGACCCTAGCAGAGGCAGAAGCAGCTCCAACAGTAGCAGCAGCAGCAGCAGCACTGAAAGGCGGGAGTTGAGGAGCAAAAGGATTGATGCTGCTGAAGCTGCTCTCGGCTCGAGGACAGAAAATTCACAAAGTGCTGCAGCAGCAAACCTGTAGTGGCGCAGCAGCAAACTTGTAGTGCTGCAGCAGCAAACTTGTTGGAAGCTTACGGGGGCTGGCTGCTGCGCCGGAGGCGGCAGAGCAGGCGCTGTTTCCAGCAGCGCCTTTAGCTGGGAAGCAGCAGCAGCAGCAGCAGCAGCAGCAGCAGCAGCAGCAGGAGCACCAGCTTTTTGTCTGTTTTCCGGAAAAGAGCCGATTCGGGGGGGAACTTGGCGAAAAAAGAGAGCTGAAGAGGAATGGAAGGAAAATAAAAACGAAAAATGCGGCTGGGACAAAAGAAAAAGAAGAAATATAATTCTGAAAGTGCTGCTGCGCAAGGCAGCACAGAGCCGCCTAGTGTTTGCAACTCGAAAGCTGCAGGTACACCCCAAAACCACCGCCATCTTCTTCTTTTAAAAGAGGAAGTTCTCCCAAATTTGAATTCCCCTTTTATTCCTTTGTGTCTCACGGGGTAGGGTTTAGGGTTTAGGGTTTAGGTTTTAGGGTTTAGGGTTTGCCATTTCAAGGTCGTCTGCTCCTGTTCAACATCGGGAAAGAAGAGCGCGGTCCTCCCCCTTTTTGTCTTCGCCTTCATTTTCTGTCATTAAATTTAAAATTGAAATTAAAAATGGAAATATATTTTTAAATGTATTTTCAAATTGGTGCAAACTGCGGGCCTTTCGGCTGCATGTGCTGCTGCTGCGGTCTGGTAGCCGGTGAGGTTCAGGGCTGCTGACGACAGGATCATCGCTTGAAAAGGTGGTAAACCTTTCTTTTAATTGTTTAAATTTATTTCTTATTTCATTTTATTTCATTTTGTTTCTTTTCCTAAATTAAAAGTACCTTTTAAACTCCGTTTCAGATCCAAATTCAACTTTCCTGCTGCTAGAGGGGCATGCGCAGCAGCATCGAGTGTGTCCCCTAGTTCTTGAACAGATCTGCAGCTAATTAAATTCAATTTCCATTTCAATTATTAAATTCGAATAATCAAATGCAAATAATTAAGTTCAAATAATTAAATTCAAACAATTAAATTCGAATTACCAAATTCAAATTATTGAATCCAAGCTATTAAATTCAAATTGTTCAGTTCAAATTACTCCTCAATTTCCTCTCCGCGTCAAGACACCGCAGGCTCCGCCAGCTGCTGCCACTGCTCGCTGCCTCCAGCCAAGACAATCAGCAGCAGCAGCAGCAGCAGCAGCAGCAGGAAAAAGTTTCCCCGGCCTCCTTGCGAGGCCATTTAAATCGTTTTCTTCTAAGTGGGGAAACTCACGGGGAGAAACCTCTACATGCATCAATGCATGCACAAATGCATGCATAAATGCATGCATAAACGCATGCACAGACGCATGCATAAATGCATGCATGCATGCATGCATGCATTTGTTTCCATTTACTGCAGCAAGTGACAGAATAAGATCATTTTTTCCTTTCGAGAGTTCAAAAGGCACTAAACAAAAGGCTTCATTTATCCTTTCCTTTTCATTTACTTTTTTAACTTCAGCTTTATTTTCTTTTCAAAAGAATTCCATTTCTTCGAATCTTCTGATTTGCAATTTAGTTGAAGTCACCTTCGACCCGCGCTGCGGCTTCTGCTGCGTCTGTCCCAGTTGCTGCTGCTGCGGTGTCTGCCAGCAGCAGCAGCAGCAGCATCTCCTCGATTTGCTGCTGCTGCTTCTCTTCCTTTGTTCTGCTTCGAAGCTGATTGCGCAGCACTCCCAGTTTGCTGCTGACGCTGGAAACCCGCATGCTGCGGCGCGGGCCTCCTGCTGCTTGCTGGAGCAGCAGCAGCACTTGCTGCTGCTGTTGCTGCTGCTGCTCCTTCTGTGGACATCTTCTTTTGCTGCTGCAGTCTGTAGGTATGCCACTCGCGGGCTACGGACTGGCTGAAGTCCACGTGGATGCTGCAGCAGGGCGAAAGCGCAGCAGCAGAACGTGCAGCAAATTGAGACGAAGCAGAAACAAAAACGGAAATTTTGCACTAAATACGAAATAAAAGCAAAATAAAACATAAAACAAACAAAAAAAAGATGAAAATCACAAAGAAATGAATTAAAACCCCCCGATCGTTC